GAGATGAAGGTCAATTGGGCCGCTTCTCCCAGCACGGCACCCAAACAGGACACCAGTAGTAAGTACTGCTGAACGTTGTGTTGTTCGGTTATCTGTATCTTGTCCTCATAGCGTCTTACCCGCCTCTAGTTGTTTAGTTATGTATGTCTTGTTCTTGTAATGCCTTACCAGGCATTTTCATGCGTGCTCCGTCCTCATCTTCATCAGCCAGCGCAGAGTTCCAATACTGATGGTACCATTCACAATCTGGTTATATGTCTGTCTTGCGTTTTATCTGAGTGTAGTGAGGCGGGCAGACCCTCTGGTTACACCTAGGTGCTTCATTCTCTCCAGGCCATAATAATCTTGTTTCTCTACTAATTCCGTTGCTTGTTTCGAAAGGGCCTTGACCACATCTGCCTTGTTCAAATCTGGTATGTGAGTATGTAATGTTAATGTTTGTATGGGTGTATGTACGTACGTATGTATATTGATGTGTGTATGTGTGTGCGGGCCGGTGTATGTGTGTGTAAAGTTATCAGATACTGTGTGTGATCCCCGTTTACCATTTCTGACCTTCAACCATAACTATCACAGAAAGTTACGTTACAAAAATAGCTAAAGTAACAGCGGGCGTTGAATATATTAATATAAGAGCTGATTTGGACAGACTGACTGGCAAGTTCTGCACCACTTGGTGTTGAATTGATGTTTGACGCGCTAGATAGGACAAAGGGCCCAGGAGAGAATGGTGCAACAGATAGTGACCACGGGATCTGGTCGACCTTATCATTGAGGAAAAGCAAGACGGTCATTGGAAAAGGGAGCTCTGCGCCAGCTGCAGCAAATGGGTAACGGGTCGCTTGTGGGGATGTCCCAAGCGTTTTGATGCCGGTTCTCTTTAACTCATCAGGACCACCAATAAGTTAAGTGGAGTTATTGGTCCCAGAAGTGGCTGAGTCTGCAATTCACCAATAACTGCCATAGACAGCTGAGCGATCATCAAGAGTATAGCCACCAGTAAATATGCTCCCTGGGCGTACAGGCGTGCTGGGGTAGCAAATGACTCGGCGACGTGGCAGTTTTGCAGCCGACCGAGACACGATTTCTGCTGCCATTTCCATTATTATTAATCTCCTGACGGGAGGAATTGAGCCCACCAGGCGACAGTCGTTGTTTGCGCTGTCATTAATTGCTGGCGGCATATAGCAGCTAGTGTTAATTGTCCGCGCGTTGCCTTTCCAGTCTGTTGACGGCACGGAATAGTTTTGTTTCAATTTCGTTATTATTGTCTGTTTTGGGAAATTGTATTTGTGGTCGTAGTTATTCTTCTACATTCTCCATTAAAAGGCCGGTTGGTACATTATATTGTGGTTTTACAGCTCGGCTGTGATTTCTGTCCCTTTGGGTTCAACAGATATTGTATTAATAAAGCCACAATTAGTCATATTTACCTCATGTTTTTATTAGGACATCAGGCAGTATCACTCTTCCACCCCCCTTCCCCATCACAGTCCTTGTCCCAGCGGGGCTTTAGGCCTCACAAAGGAAATTGATGTTAGTTTAAAGGTTTTATGGGTTTCAGGACACATCCGGGTGGCTGGTCTAGTTCTTTAAAACGAGTTTATAGATGTGGGGGGGGGGGGGGGGGGGGGAGGAGGTCTATGACTACCGAATATGACAGTTTACACAGATTGTTGGTAGTATAAAAAGACACAAACTATATATATATTTTTCTTGACTGTTTCCTTATATAACGTTTGTTAAATTTGGCTCAGCATAAAGAAATAAAAAAAAAAAATCCACTGTTCAATAAAAAGGCATCAGGTATGAAAATAAAATGTACACCTCCTGAGCGAGGGGTGCATCACATCTGTCTACAACTGCTTAGGCTTCAGATACCTGCTGGAGTCTCTATCGTAGCAAGATCCCGTCTTTTCTTTTCCTCATTTATCTGTCTTGAAGTCAGAAGGCCTACTTTATATTTCTTATTTTCTTCTTATGCCCATCGTCTCCTTATTCTTTCTGTCTCATATATACACACAAATACACACACACACATACATGGACTGTAATATTATCTATAAATATAAACACACACAGACACATATTACAGTGTTCATTCAGGCTGGTATGATGAAACGTTAAAGTTGTACTGTTTTCAAGGAACAGTAAAAAAAACTGCTGTCCTGGTCTCTATATAACCTCCTCGCTTCTTGTTAATTAGTACACACCAGTGTTTTCCGCCAATTTTCAGGACGTTGCTCCTCTGACTCCTAGCTTCCCAGTAAATATACACGTATGTGCGTACTACATACATGCATAAGTGCACATATACACACACGTACGTACATATTTAGCCACGCACAATCGTGTTTCCTTGTGTTATCATCAATATCATTATTATCTCTCTTACAAATGGAAAATACCGATACATCCCTGAATTCTGTTTTAACACACTTGGAAGCGTTTGGATAGCAGCTGCTTGAGAAGCAAGCCGAGCAAACAGTTGAAAGTTAGCCAATCGAATATCGACGCAAACTGGAACCGCGGGTGAAATAATGAATATTGTAGGCACAAGAATGCAAAGACAAAGTTCGGCGACTCGGAGCCATAACTCCCCTTTTAATTAGATGCGAAGATAACCCGTTGTAGGGTCGGTTCGGTTGGTTTTGGAGACAGATGTGAGAGTTTTGTGTTCAGTGGGAGAACGATTGATCGATTGATTGATTAGCGGAATGTACGTGTTACGTGCACGGCTCAGAATTTAGAAAATCAGCTAAACACTGGCTAGAGAGAGAGAGAGAGAGAGAGAGAGAGAGAGAGAGGAGGAGGAATCGAATTGCTAATTTAAACTCACGTGATAAGAAAGCAGCAAATCATGGTCATCCACCGAGGCTAGCACCATACACTTTGTCAGTCGACAAGTTCTGTAACATATTAGGGGGTGCAGTAAAGGCCTTGCAAAATGCTTTAGATAGGAGCCGTTCTGTTGCCACAAGAAGGTGCAGCGGTGCTCCGGCTTTTATTTTGATGGATGATACAAGAGAGAACACCAGTGTTGCCACTTTTCTTTGACAAAAAACATCCAAAACAGAGTCCCAAAAAATAATCTAAAAACATGTAAAATTTGCGTGGAAAACATCTAGAAAAAAACATTCAAATGGAAAGAGTCACAAATTACATAGCAATTGATAGACTTACCCTATAGAACCATGTCCTCATCTTCACTGATGTCTGCCTTACAAGATCCATAGGATAAACTTAGCTTGAATGATGAAGTTAAAGCTTCAGATCCAAAATGACTGGTATGCTTTAGCTGTTCCAGTTTCTTTTAATACCCAATCAGGGAGCTGATAAGTGGAACAGTCTTTTCCTACTCTTATCAGGTCGAATTTTATTGTCATGATAGCATTTAAGAGGTCAAATCTCATCCTGTTTCTTAGGTTAGATTAGAAAAATTCACTCCAAATGAAAAACTTCT